ACTACGAGGGCTTCGTGGAAGACGAGCTCGTGGTGGAGGATTGGCACGTGGTGGACCGTGCTGTGGTACAGTGGCGGGTGCTGGTCAACAGCTGCCGCAGGATCAGAAGGTTGCAGCGCATCTGGGGACATCTCGGACAGTGGCTGCAAGAAGTGTGTGAGAAACAACTTCGAGATAGGCTGCGTGACCACCTGTGAGGATGGCGGAGGAGCAGCTCAGGAACCTGGCGGAGCAAGTCCAGGGGATGACGATGGAGTTGACAAGGCAGCGGGACGCGGTGGCGGCGCTGCAGGCACAACGGCTGCAAGAGCTCGAGACGATCAACAGGCTGCAGGGCACGATCATCGCGGACCGCGAGGCGAGAAATACCAAGGTGCAGCTGGTGGACATCAAGGGCATTGGCAAGCCAGTGCCTTTCAAGTCGGACATGAAGGAGTGGTCAACATGGAGTTTCAAGCTGGGCAACTTCCTGGAGGGAGTGGCGACCGGCATCAAGGAGTCGATGGAGTACTGCCAGGACCAAGAGGAGGCACTGGTGGAAGCCGATCGGGACGAGATCGAGAGGCTGCTCGACGACGGCGAGGACGCCAAGGGCGTGGGCAGACAGCTGTACGCGGTGTTGGCTCAGCTCTGCGAGGGCGAAGCTTTGGACCTGGTGCAAGCGACGAAGGACAACGACGGGTTCGAGGCATGGCGAGTGATCTCGCGGCGGTTCGACCCTCGAGGAGCTGGACGAAAGAGAAACATCCTGGGGACGCTGATCAGCCCGGGAGCAGTCGACACGAAGGAGTTGAAGAGCCACATGGCCAGGTGGGAGGAGAGACTGCGAGTCTACGAGAAGTGCGCTGGCCATGCGATGCAGGAGGACATCAAGACGTCGGTGCTGATCAACATGACGAAAGGAGTGCCGAAGGATCACCTAGTCTTGAATGCGAACAAGCTGAATACCTACATCAGCGTGCGAGAGGAGATACAGAGCTACCTGGAGTCGAAGAACGACGACGGCCCAATGCCGATGGACATCAGCGGCCTCAAGGGCGGCGGCAAGTCGGACAACAGGGGCGTCGAGTGCAAGAATTGCCACAAGAAGGGCCACGTGAAGAGGGGCTGCTGGGCCCCAGGTGGCGGGGCTTACCAGGGCAACCAGAGCTCGAAGGGCAAAGGCAAGGACGGCGGCAAGGGCGGCAAGAGCAAGGGCAAAGGCAAGGACAAGGACAAGAGCAAGAGCGACAAGATGCCGTCCAGGCCATGGCCAAAGCGAGACGACAAACCAAAGCAGGGCTTCCAAGGGTACTGCTCACTGTGCTGGGGCTGGGATCACAAGCGGGTGGACTGCGGATCGAACCAGAGCTCGGCACCAACGCGACGTGGAGCCAACAGCCTGGAGGAGAGCTCGAAGCAGCAGGAGCCGGAGACCGAGAAGCCCGGTGGAATGGGAAGCCTGGAGCTCTGCACGCTGGAGTTGAACATGATGGACGAGGATGGCGACTACTTCTACGCGGCGGTGGACTCTGGAGCGGCTGCGAGCGTAGTTCCGAACAAGTGGTTCGTGGACGTGGAGACGCGGCCGACGGTGTCCGGCGAGTCGGGCACGAGCTACCGAGCGGCGAACGGTCAGCTGGCGCACGACGAGGGCGAGAAGATCATCGAGGTGATGGCGGAGGATGGCGAGGTCCGACGCCTCAGGTGCACGTCGACGGCGGTGCATCGGATGCTACTGGCGGTATCCGAGCTGGTGGAGAAGGGGCACGAGGTTTACTTCGGGCCGAAGCAGAGCTACGTGAGGCACATAGCGAGCCGCAAGTCGCTACCTGTGCACCTACGACGTGGAGTGTACTGCCTCAAGCTCAAGAAGGTGGACGGTCGGGGGCGGTCGGCTCCAGACCTGAGCGCGATGTCGGGGAACGACCGGCATGCGCGCCCGCAGTAAGACCCAACGACGAGTTCGAGATCTACCCTCTTCCTGAGGACGGAGGGGCAGCTGCAGCAGCGCCGGCGGTGGCGGCGGAACCTGAGGCGCCCGAGCTGGAGGAGGATGACGACATGGGTGACCCGCCGGTGACGGTGGTGCCCGGGCCGTTCGAGCCCGCGACGGCCGAGCGGGAGGCGCGCGAGGCGGCAGGCCACGTGCAGTTCAGGGCATGGTGCGGCGACTGCGTTGGAGGACGGGGCCGCAATGCAGATCATCGTAGACTGGGTGCTGAGCGAGCTCACCTGGTCAACGCGATCTCCATGGACTACGCGTTCTTTGGAGGAGACGATGCTCGAGCATAACCGACGGTGGTATTGCGCGAGCATAAATGTCGATGGACAGTATCGATCGCAGTGACGAGTAAAGGCACCAAGGATGCCTGGATCATCGAGCGGGTGGCGGAGGCCATCCGGTACACGGGGGTGAGGCATTTCATCTTCAAGAGCGACCAGGAGACCTCGATCGTGGACCTGAAGAACAAGGTCATCGAGGCTCTGGGCGGGACCTACCAGGTCGTGAAGGAGGAGAGCCCAGTGGACGAGCACCAGGCCAACGGCGCAGTCGAGCGGGCGGTGCAGTCCGTCGGGGGCGTCGTGAGGACGCTGAAGCTGGCGGTGGAGCGCCAGTGCGAGACGCAGATCGGCCACGACCGCATGATCGTGCCGTGGCTCATAGACAACGCGGGGGCGGTGATCAGCCTGTTTGACGTGGGGGCTGACGGGCGGGCGGCGTACGAGCGGATGCGCGGGAAGAAGTGCCGGAGAGCGCTCCCACCGTTTGCCGAGACGGTGTTCTACCTGCCGGCGGACAGGAACCGAGGGCGCAAGAATGCGCTGGACGCCAAGTGGGTGACGGGCATCTACCTGGGCGTGAAGCTGTCGAGCCAGGAGCTGTACATCGGCGTGGAGCAGGGCGTGGTCAGGGCCAGGGCTGTCAAGCGGAAGGCCGGGGACGCGCGCTACGACAAGGAGCTGCTGAAGAAGCTGCAGGGATCGCCTTGGCGGCCAGTGCCAGGGTCGGTCGGGGACGGGGAAGAGGCGCCAGCGGCCCGCCTCCCGAGAGAGCGTCCGATGAGGCGCCTCTGCCAGTGGAGCCGCGGGTTGCGCGGCCGGGCGCCGGGGCAGGCGGAGTGCCTGGACCTCGGCGCGTCTACATCCGCAACGAGGTGGACATCAAGAAGTTCGGGAGGACCCCGGGCTGTCCAGGCTGCGATCACTTCGCGGCTGGACTGACGGCGCGTAGTCACAGCGAGCATTTAACAAGCAGAAGTGATGCGCAGAGCAATTTGCGGATCGCCGCATCGACGCCCTCCGTCGACGTACTTGCTGAAGTCTCCCTCCCTCCCTGTTTTCCCCCCTTCCGTCTTCGTTTCTTTTTTGTGTCAGCGTTCTCTCAGAATGGTCACGAACCGCTGCTTCAGGGAAGCTCCGGGTCACGCCTGGGCGCCGGATCTTTCTGCCTGGCTCGAAAGACGTGGCTTGCTCCAGACACGATAACAAGTGGTTCTGGCGATCTTGGCATTGGCGGGCTACATATCATCCAAATGGTGCAAGTAATACACAGATTGCCATTTATTTGATCGCTTCGCTCATTCCGCCAGCCCTCGAGCGCTCTATGGGGCCTCTTTGAAGCCTCTTGGGCGCCCTTTTGGGGCCTCCTAGGGGCCCTTTGGGGGCCTCTTGGGGCTCCTTGGCGGCGTCTTGGGGCCCCCTTGGGCCTCTTGGGGGGCTCTTGGGGGCCTCTTTGGGGCGGGGTAGTCGAGTGCACCCTCCTCGGAGGCCACAGTCCCCGTGAGCGGTGTCGACAAAAGGCCTTCAAAACCATCTCTGAGTAGACCTTCCCGGGACCTTCCCGGGACCTTCCCGGGACCTTCCCAGGACCTTCCCAGGACCTTCCCGGGACCTTCCCGGGACCTTCTCGGGCTGCGGTCGGGGTACTTTTCGCCGGGGGACACCCAGGGGCCGCCCCGCGCGCGCGAACTAGAAGAGTTGTTAACCAGTTACTGGAGATCTTAGCACGCCTCTGGCCCGTTGGGCCGGCGAATTTATGCACAGGTAATGAGCCTGTATACCGATGTGTGGATGGATAGGTGGAATGGTTGCCCCGATGGTTGTTCCGTCAGTCATCTCGTTGACTTGCTGATGGATGTTTCGGTTGATATATCGTGGCGTCGGCGTACCGTTTGATAGCGGTCTCGGTAAATGGATCGTGGGACTGACCAGCCGTGAATCGGATTGGCATCTAGGTCGGAATTTGCATACCTGGAACACTTGTGCCGATCGGTATCCTGCTGATGATTTTAAGTGTTGCTTCGAATGTTAGGCAGTGGAGCGAATACACATATATGGACAATGAGCTGAGACATGAGTAAAGAGCGAGCTATGTATGGAGTTAGACTTCATTGTTACACACATACGTATGTATGTATATACCGAAGTGTGTACATGTATGTACATATGTACGCACTATGTGTGTACTTGTACGTGTCTATGTAATTGTATGTTTGTATGTGCATGATCATGTATATGCATATGATGTGTATGTGTAAACGTACATGTTTATCTTATGTACATGTACATGTATATGTATACGTTTACGTATATGTGTGTATTACTGTATTGTTGTATATACATTCATATGCATATGTATATTTCCATGTATCTGTACACTGACTGTGAATGTTTATGTACAGAGACATGTAGATGTACATGTACATGTGCACGTAAGTCCATGTGCATATGTAAGTGTGTATGTACATGCTCATGCCTATAGTTGTATGTATATGTATAGGTACATGCATAGGTATATGTATAGGTGAATGTATATGTAAATGTCTATGTTTGCACATCTGTATATATGTATGCATGCATGTATGCCTGTCTGTATGTTTGTATGTATGTACATATGTATATATAGGGTCGCCCAATCGTGATGTCCCGACCCGATGTGTATCCACTCGTGAGTTGAATTGTGCGCCCAATGCAAACCAAAGATGGTGTCATCCTCCCGTAGTTCCCTATCACGCGAGCGGCGGTCTGTGCGGCATTCTCGATTGAAACTGAAACAATGTTAGTGCCCGGGAGGTTTCCAGCCTGGCTTGTAAATACTGGCAACCGGAGGGGGATGCTCTTCAGATCCCACAGTCTCTTCATCAGGCATACTTGAAGCAGTCTTTGCGCGCCCCTCTGCGTGCTCAAGGCGGTGGCGGACCGCAGCTTATGGAATAGCTGCCCGCTTCATCGAGGTTGTAAGCGACACGCCCTCCAATATATTATAATTAGCGCCTGGATTCTCCCCGAAAGTTTTTCCGGGTTAGTTTTACGCTTCTCAGGCGACTCTATTTAGGTGCCGGTGTCCGTGGCTGCTGCCTTTTCGGAAAAAGTATCCCTAGAGATAGCTTTTTCACCGCCTGGCGATGACAGGCGTGATGGGGGGAGTGGGGAGGGGAGGAGGGGGGGCCAGTCTCGTCACGATTCGTCACGATGCGCGCCGACGCCGTCTGGGGACGCCGAGGAAGGGCTGGTTGCTGGACGTCACGGGCGCGAGCCGTGAGGTGACCAGGGGAGGGGGGCTGGCAAGGGAGAGCGGGGGGGGGGGACGGGCGGCCACGGGCGTGACCGCGAAGAGCAGAAGAGTGGGCTCCTCCTACTCCTCCTCCTCCTCGTCCTCCTCCTCCTCCTCCTCCTCCTCCTCCTCCTCCTCCTCCTCCTCCTCCTCCTCCAGTGTTCGTGACAGCGCTCGGGCGTGTGCCCTTTCCTCAGTGGGAGCAGCGCCAGAACATCTGGACTCTCTAGGAGCATCTCGGATGATCTCGCGAACTGCTCTGACGGCAGGACCCGCACGAGAGTCACCCAAACTGATTTGGAAGCAAACCATCGTCGTGGTCCCTGTGGGTGCAGAGGCGCTCTCCCGTCTCTTCATGGCCCTTCTCCTTTTCGCCCCGGCGGATTCCCCCTTTCCGCCCCCGGCTCTGCCTCCTCCTCGTCCAGGCCAGAAGTGACGACAGCTACAGGGCTCCGACGGCCCGCTCGTATCAGTAACTCAGGAGGGGAAAAAACACACAGACACAATTAATCGTCGACTCCCCAGAAAATGTAGGAAACTATGGGAAGTGGTGGGGAAGACAGAAACCCAGAAAATATGGGAAAATATGGGGAACCTTTTTATTTGTGTGTATTTCTTTGTGTGTCCCAGGGCCCCTTCAGTAACATGGGCTGCGGGTCGCATAGGGATGGCGCTCCCGCCGGAGACTTCCTCGCCTTAGTTGTCTCGATACGCCCGTATTGAAACGCAATACGTCCCGTGTTCGAGACGTCCGTGTCAATACGTTGCGTGTTGGCTCCACGTGTTGGCCCACGTTTTGGCCAACGTATCGCGTCGGACCTACGTTTCCAGTCCACGTGTTGAGCTCCGTATCAATACGCCGCGTGTTGCGTGTTGCGTATCGGGGCAGCTAAGTTCCTTGCAACTCACTCAGACGAGGCCCCTCTTGAGATTTTCATTGCATTCAGTATTGGGATGCGTAGAAATAGCGAGAGTTTCGGGAATCCAGTGACCCGGCAGGATTCGTACCATAATTCGCGGGCCCCATAGGGAAGGTGCTCCCGCATAAGACTTATTCGCAATTCACTCACATACGGACATGCGGGGCTCGCGCTCGAGACTCCGCCATATTCAGGACCAAGGAGGCCACAAGTGACGACAGTTACACGAATCCGATGGCCCACTCGGATTGAAACCATGAGTTGCGGGCTCCAAAGGGCGAGGGGTCCCGCTTGAATTTTCTTGCAATTCACTCAGAGACGAAGCTCCCGCTCGAGACATCCGCTGTATGCAGGATTGATGACCCCAAAAGTAACGTCAGTTACTGGAGTCCGATGACCCGCTCGTCACAGGAGTCCGATTACCCACTCGAATTAATCACATGATCTGTGGGCCCCATATGGGGGGAGTTCCCGACTGAAACTTCTTTGCTTTTTTGAAATATCCTCTGTATTCAGGATTGATGATCCCAAAGGTGACGACGTTACAGAAATCCGATGACCCGCTTGGATTAATGACATGATCTGCTGTTTTTTTACAGGGGGCTCCCGCCTGAGATGCCCATGCAATTCACCCAAGATGATGCTGTGGGGGTCTTCTCCTTGTGCGGGGGAGTCCAGAGTAACAAATTGGGTGGTGATCAACATGATGACCGATGAAAGCTGTGGGATGACAGTAGTGATGATCGTTGATGATGGTGCGATGACGATGACGATGATGGTGATGGTGACCATGAGATCATGGTGAGGAAAAGCAGGGTATGAGTTGAGGTGTGAGGTGGAAGGACTGCGCGGGTTGTCTGAAGAAACCAAGACCCCCCTAGGATGTGTGAGAAATGGCAACAGCTACAAGGTTCCGATGACACGGTCGGATGAGTAAGATGAAGTGCGCGCCCCAGAAGGAGGGGGTTCCCGCCTGAGACATCCTCGCAATTCAGTCACAGACGAGGCTCCCGCTTGAGACATCCTCTGCGTTCAGGATTGCCGATCCACAAGTGATGACAGTTACAAGGTTCGGATAGCCCGCTCAGATCAGTAACACGGAGTGCGGGCCCCATAGGGAGGGGGCGCCCGCCTGAGTTTTCTTCGATATTCATTCAAAGACGAGGAACCAAAACCAACACCGAAATCATCTAGCACGCCAGGCACCCCTGCGATGAATCGACAGGGGGCGGCGGATCGAAGACGCCTACGGCGAATCACCGCCGCCCCCTGCCTTTTTGGAAGCGCCTATGTGGCCGAAGGTTGAGGCCAAACCTGCCAAGCTATCGGACCATGTGTTCCCCGAATCGGTTTGGAAAGCCTTTGGGGAACACGTGGGCATCTTGAAGGTCATCTTGGCCGTCTGGAGACCATTTTGGCCCTCTCGAGCCTTCTTGGAGGACGTCTTGGAGGCCTCTTGGACCGTCTTGGAGGCCACCTTCAGCGTCTTGGAGACCTCTGGGGCCGTCTTGGGGGCCTCTTGGGGCCGTGTCTTGGGGGCATTTGGGACGTCTCGGGCCGTCGGAAGGCCCAAACGAAGGAAGTGCCCAAATCAGTCAAACACCCCAGGCAGATCTAGGTTTTTGGCCTCTTCTGGCCTTCCTGGAGGCCCTCTTGTAGGCCTCTTGGGCCGTCTGAGGCCAGCTTCGAGCCAACTTCGGCCATCTTGGTGGGTTCCTGGCACGTCTGACGCCGTCGGAAGCCGTTTCGGGTGCCTTTCTGGGCCGACTGGGGGCCCTCTTGGGGCGCTTCGGGGCCGTCTTGGAGGCCATCTTGGGCGTCTTGGGGGCCATCTTGGGCGTGTTGGAGGCCTCTTGGGCCGCCTTGGGGCCCTCTTGGGGCCGTCTTGGAGGCCACTTGGGCCGTCATGAAGCCTTCTTGGGGGCCTCTTGGGCGATCTTGGCGGCCTCTTGGGCCGTCTTGAGCCGTCGGAGTGCCGAGAAGAAGCAACTGCCAAACTCCTTCAAAAACCTATGGAACATCTTGGCCTCTTCGGGCCCTCCTGGAGGACCTCTTGGAGGCCTCTTGGGCCGTCTTGGAGGCCTCTGGGGGGCCTCTGGGGTCGTCTTGGGCCGTCTTGGACTCTCTTGGGCTGTCTTGGAGGCCGTCTTGGACCATCTTGGGCGGGCTTGGAGGCCATCTTGGACCATCTTCGCGATTTTTTGAGGATGTCCCGAGCGAAACGGCCGTTTTTGGCGATGGCAACCACCTCTTCCGGGTGGCTGGCGGGACGGGCCGAAGCCCCAGAGGGAGTTCTTTTGGGAAAAGAACCAAAACCAAAACCGAGAGGGTTCAGCACGCCAGGCACCCCTGTGATGAATCAACAGGGGGCGGCGGATCGACGACGCCCACGGCGAATCACCGCCGCCCCCTGCCTTTTTGGAAGCGCCTATGTGGCCGAAGGTTGAGGCCAAACCTGCCAAGCTATCGGACCATGTGTTCCCCGAATCGGTTTGGAAAGCCTTTGGGGAACACGTGGGCATCTTGAAGGTCATCTTGGCCGTCTGGAGACCATTTTGGCCCTCTCGAGCCTTCTTGGAGGACGTCTTGGAGGCCTCTTGGACCGTCTTGGAGGCCATCTTCAGCGTCTTGGAGACCTCTGGGGCCGTCTTGGGGGCCTCTTGGGGCCGTGTCTTGGGGGCATTTGGGACGTCTCGGGCCGTCGGAAGGCCCAAAAGAAGGAAGTGCCCAAATCAGTCAAACACCCCAGGCAGATCTAGGTTTTTGGCCTCTTCTGGCCTTCCTGGAGGCCCTCTTGTAGGCCTCTTGGGCCGTCTGAGGCCAGCTTCGAGCCAACTTCGGCCATCTTGGTGGGTTCCTGGCACGTCTGACGCCGTCGGAAGCCGTTTCGGGTGCCTTTCTGGGCCGACTGGGGGCCCTCTTGGGGCGCTTCGGGGCCGTCTTGGAGGCCATCTTGGGCGTCTTGGGGGCCATCTTGGGCGTGTTGGAGGCCTCTTGGGCCGCCTTGGGGCCCTCTTGGGGCCGTCTTGGAGGCCACTTGGGCCGTCATGAAGCCTTCTTGGGGGCCTCTTGGGCGATCTTGGCGGCCTCTTGGGCCGTCTTGAGCCGTCGGAGTGCCGAGAAGAAGCAACTGCCAAACTCCTTCAAAAACCTATGGAACATCTTGGCCTCTTCGGGCCCTCCTGGAGGACCTCTTGGAGGCCTCTTGGGCCGTCTTGGAGGCCTCTGGGGGGCCTCTGGGGTCGTCTTGGGCCGTCTTGGACTCTCTTGGGCTGTCTTGGAGGCCGTCTTGGACCATCCTGGGCGGGCTTGGAGGCCATCTTGGACCATCTTCGCGATTTTTTGAGGATGTCCCGAGCGAAACGGCCGTTTTTGGCGATGGCAACCACCTCTTCCGGGTGGCTGGCGGGACGGGCCGAAGCCCCAGAGGGAGTTCTTTTGGGAAAAGAGCCAAAACCAAAACCGAGAGGGTTCAGCACGCCAAGCACCCCTGTGATGAATCAACAGGGGGCGGCGGATCGAAGACGCCCACGGCGAATCACCGCCGCCCCCTGCCTTTTTGGAAGCGCCTATGTGGCCGAAGGTTGAGGCCAAACCTGCCAAGCTATCGGACCATGTGTTCCCCGAATCGGTTTGGAAAGCCTTTGGGGAACACGTGGGCATCTTGAAGGTCATCTTGGCCGCCTGGAGGCCGTTTTGACCCTTTCGGGCCTTCTTGGAGGACGTCTTGGAGGGCTCGTGGGCCGTCTTGGAGGCCATCTTCAGCGTCTTGGAGGCCTCTTGGGCCGTCTTGGGGGCCTTCTTGTAGGCCTCTTGAGCGATCCTTGGGCGATCTTTGGGAGCTCTTGGGCCGTATCGGGCCGTCGGAAGGCCGAAACGAAGCAAATGTCAAAATCCTTCAAAAACCCAGGGAACATAAATCTTTTTTGCCTTTTTTCTTGCATTCTTGG